GGCTGGTACTTCACTGGTCATTGGCTGGTCATGGCTGGTCATTGGCTGGTCATGGGCTGGTCATGGGCCTGTCATGGGCTGGTCATTGGCTAGTCATGGCTGGTCATTGGCTGGTCATGGGCTGGTCATGGGCCTGTCATGGGCTGGTCATTGGCTGGTCATGGCTGGTCATTGGCTGGTCATGGGCTGGTCATGGGCCTGTCATGGGCTGGTCATTGGCTAGTCATGGCTGGTCATTGGCTGGTCCTTCACTGGTCATTGGCTGGTCATGGGCTGGTCCTTCACTGGTCATGGGCCTGTCATGGCTGGTCATGGCTGTTCCTTGGCTGGTCATTGGCCTGTCCTTGGCTGGTCATGGCTGGTCCTTGGTTAGTCCTCGGTTGATTCTTGGTTAGTCCTTGGTTAGTCCTTGGCTGGTCTTTGGACCAAAAGGCTGGACTATAACTGGACTTGGATCTGCTGCAAACGGTTTAATTACAAAGTTAATGTGAGAAGCCTCCATCTTTAAAGTGGAGATCGGTTCTGTCTTGTTGGACAGACTCGTCAACACCTAATTTAAATTCATGACTTGTCCATTTGAGGAATGTAGCTCCGCCTCTGGTACTGGAAAGTTATGGAGACATTAAGAACCGGTTTGAGTTCTGCAGAACCACAGACGTTCACAGAGGGAGTCACATGACTGGTCCGTAAATCCTCCTGGATTTACGGACCAGAACCTCTCAGGATTAATGATGTGCTTGACCTTTGATTGGATCGCGGTGCGTTCCGGGACTTGGAAACATGTCAGAAAACTGGACCCAGGACAGAAATGAAACACTGGAGGCTGAAAACAGGTCATTTCAGAATCATTTATGAAAAGAATTGAATCAGCAGCAGCTGCAGAGGAACAGAACCACAGAGCGCGGAGTGTTGGTCCAGTTCTGCAGAACCTAAATGGCTTCTAAGGTTCCAGAACCACTAAACCCAAACTTCATCATCAGCTTCATCTCAAACCAAACGGATTTTCTTTCCTCTGCAGGTTGGAGTGTTTCTGTCTGTCAGTTCTGACCCGTTAAAAGTCAGCTTCCTCTCCTCCAGCCAATCAGCACACTTCATTCTGAGCGACGGCCTTCGCCTCCAGCAGCTCCCTGATGACATCATCGCTGCAGGCCAGGGTGTCTCTCAGCACCTGGACCGTGTGCTGACCAATGAGGGGCGGCGCTGTGGGCGCGCTCAGAGAGAAGCTGCTGAACCGGACGGCTGGACCTGAAACAGACAAATGGGAGGAATCAGAACCGGTTCTGTTTCTTTTGACGGGTTCTACACAAACCGAGAACTTTAGGACTAGAAGTGGCCCTGTTGGGCCCGATTAACAGGATTCTGGAATCACTTTCTTCAGGATCATCGTTGTGAATCTCGTTAAACATGTTTTATCTACAGCTAGCAAACCCAGAGGAAGGAAGTGACGGAACCGCCTCCGGTCCGCTGTTAAATGCTTCCTGGCTGCCTAAGTGCTAACCTGAGCTAACTCCTGATTGGCTGTTTTATGAAGTTGTTAGCACTCAGCTGGATTGTTGCAATACCATCTATGTGGGGGTTAAGGACTGGTTATCCTCCCGCAGCAGTGTGTCGCAGTTAGCTTGTCACCGGTTTGACAGATATCTCAGATATTTTTGATTTATGCCCAATATTGAAACATGGTCTGAACTGTTATTCCATGCCACAACGCAAGAAGACCAATCAGGAACTAGCTAGGATTGTGGGTGTTCGTGTGTTGGGTTAACAAGCTTGTTCGCCGTCTACAACCCCTCACCCAACGCCGGACGATGCACAGTTCACCCCTGAGTGTTTCCCAAAGACTGGCTGTGGCCTGGCGTATTTTGGCTACGGCTTAACGTTAACGTCTAACGTCTAGCGGCCAGGGCTAACGCTAGCCAGTGCTAACATCATCCGATTTGGGCATGCACTGTATGAGTTTTTGCTATTTTAACACTTTAACACTTTAAACACTTTTTATTGATTTGATCGTGTTAACGTTATTGTTACCCATGTTTTAGCTGTTTTATGTTTTGTTTTATTTTTACTGTGCATCACTTTGGTCGGCTGTGGTTGTTTTTAACTTCTTGACAAATAAAATTCGATCTGATCGGATAACGAGGAAAAGACGTTAAGTAAAGAAGGTTAAGTAAAAGCAGTTTTTTCTCCAGTTCAGTCCTTCATCTTCCTCCTGATTCTCAGTTTAAAGCCGTAGGGAAGCAGCCGTTCCAACCGTTGCATTTCCGAATTCTCTGAGTGGAGCCCGACTTTACACGAGTGAATAAAGTGAATGTGATTGGTCGATTATCAAGGTGGCGGGATTGTTGTGGCGGAAGGTTCGCAAGCAAGTTAGGTTGTGGCCGGTTTGTGGTAAGCATCTTGCTAACCAGTTAGCGACTTAGTGCTAGCAGGTTCCCAATGGGAAATTCCATTGGGACCAAGTAGCACTAAATTG